TAAAAATAAAATTTCGTAAAAGTGCTAAGAAAAACTTTCGTAATCTTGGTTTTCGTACAATGTACGAAACTTTCGTTCATAATACAAACACATTTTTCACAACGAAACAAGATTTTACGAACCATTCGTAAATATAACGAAAGGACTTTGGTAAGGCATTTTTTCAGTACAATTTACGAAATCTTACGTTTATTTTACGAAACACATTCGTAAATCACTTAAAAAATCTCTGTACGAATAATTTTGGATATTGTAGGAAGGCATTCATAATATTTACGTATGGTTTTAAAATTTACGAATCTGTATTCGTACAATTTAGTTAATACTTTCGTATAAAGTACTAATGCAGAAACATGTTTTATAAATTCGTACAACATACGAATATTTTCGTACAATATACTCAATTATCGGCAGTTGAATATTTCATCATATTTTTATGTATCGCGTGTCATTGCGGAATTACTTGTTGGCTGCTGTGAGACGTATAATATAATTTTAAACGTTTTAAAAAGGGTTTTGCTGGATAAAAAAACAATACAAAATTAAATATTAAAGCATACAATGTTTTTAACATCGCCTGCGCTGCGCCTTGCGCTGCAATGTGGGACTTCATAAATAGGCAATTTCATCAGTTACCTATCAACGGCAAGCCTAAGCCAGGAACAGACGCACTACTTAATGAAATTGAAAGTAAGTACATGTATGGCTTTTATCTGAAACTTGCATTTGAGACGTCTTATAATTTTCCTTCAATTTACAGTCGTCAAGGAAACAAACATCTATGAAGCTCCGAATCTGCCAAGTACCTCTACATAAAAATATTATAATGTTTAACGAAGTAAAATCAGTATTTTTTATATTCTTTCATATTCTAAATCTTATTATATTTAATAAGAGTTTTGTTGAGTCTCATAATTTAACACTTTGCATCAACATACTTTATTGAATGAATGCTAAGCAATTAAAAAATGTGTAGTATGGAACCTATTCGTATGCATATAAATAAAAGACTTAAGTTTTATTATAGATAAAATAACCTTTTTTAATTTAATTTCAAACTTATTTTTTACCACAGTTATACTTGTAATATCTGAACTTCTTTCGTGGAATGTATGATTGTTTTTATTCTGAACACTATAAAAAAA